AGCCATCCCCCCCTTTCCCCCGACACCCCTCCACGGGGAACAGACTCCCACATCCCAAGCTCCCGGGTCTCTGACAGCTCGTGTCAGGGTTGGAGGGACTGAAATCCCCCCCAGCAGCAGGCGAGGGGCTCAGGGGTGTGGGAAGGGTGGGTGCTGTGAGGCAGAGGACAGGACTCACCTCTCTCTTGGCAGCCAACAAGCGCCCCAGCGCCGCGGCCGGCGCCCTCTCTCGCCCCGCGCTTTTCGCTGGATGGTCACTGCAGCCAGGTTCACCTGCTGGATGAACCTGGGGGGAGAAATGGGGGTCAGCACGGGTGGCCCCGAGGTCTTTCTCAGCCACCCTGCCCTGTCCTGCAGGTGCAGAGTGCAGGCTGCTCGCCCACAGCACCAGGACCCGACTTCGGGGGTGAGAGGAACTTGTTGTGCCGTTGGTGACAGCTCAGAGGATGGAGCTGAGGGACAGGCAGGGGAAATTTGCCACCACAGGAGCACTGAGAGGGGAACTCCCCAAATCTGGAGCCCCAAAGGACTCCAAAACAAGCCAGGATCAGCTCCCCTGGAGCTCAGTGCTCTGCCTGGCACTGTCCTCAGGTGCTTCCCCCCAGCCACCCCACAGTGGCTCCCCTCACCTCTCCCCCTCCTCCTCGGTCACCTCATTCCTCCGGGGCAGGCTGCTGCTGCTGCTGCTGTTGTTGTTGTTGCGGGTCATGATGTTGTTGCTGGAGAAATTCTTCTGAGACTTCACAAAGCTGCTGCTTTCACCATCCTCGTTGGAGGGGGCTTTGACAACGTTGCTAAGGAAGAAGACGAAGCCACTTGGCACCCCCCCGCCTTGTCCTGTGCCACGTCAGCACACGGGGTCAGCAGAGCCTCCAAGCTGGGACCTCACCACACTCACTTGAGGGAGCTGGGCACCACCTGGTTGGAGCTTTTAGGGGCAGGGCCCTTCTCTGTGGTAGAGTAGTTGTTGTGCACCATGGTGGTGACGCAGTTGCCCATCGCGCCCTTGTTGCTCCTGTTGTGGAGAGAAGACCAGGCCTTGGGACTTGCAAAGGGGACAAGGGGCACCAGTGAAGGACTCTCCCCGTGCTGCCACCCTCAGCCCACCCCTGACTGACTGGAGCAGCTCCCAGGGTGAGGAGCAGGTGAGGCCTCACAGGCAACTCGCTGCTCCGCAGCGGCTGTTAGCTGGTGCACAGACAGACAGACAGACAGACAGACAGACAGACAGACAGACAGAGCCTGAGCACCCTAAGAGCTGGCTCTTCAGGCTCTGCTACACCAGCCTTGGCTTCAGTCTCTCCTGAAGGGTTCAAGTTTGACTCGTTCCCTTTCCTAGAGCAGCCTCTCCCACATAAACACCAAGCTCCCAAGTGGCTTCCGGATCATTGAAGCCC